GCCGGGTTCTCCAGGCAGCCTCTGACACAGAGTCCTGCTCTTTGTAGCTCTGAACCTCTGGGGAAGCCTATGTTTCTTGATGGAGTTGCCACTGGGCCTTTTGGTCAGGATAGTTCTTCATTATGTATGACTGTCTTCCAAAATACAGGGTGAGCATCCCTGCCCTACTGGGGGCTAAAAGCCAGGGGTCTTTGGTCAACCAAAAAAGCCTCCATACATTTCTGGATGCCCATGGCAGGCACTCCAGACTGAGAACTTCTGCAAGTCTGAGAAGAAGAGCATGATTTACACTCTTCCTACACGTGACACCTGTTCCTCTTTCGTTATCTTAGAGAAATGACCTTGAACAAATCATATCAAAGACTCTCTGAGCCCTCAGGGTCCTCACTTATTGAATAGTGATCATAGTAAAACCTATGTCTTAGATTCAGGAGGAAGATTAACATTAATGTTTGTGAAGGTTTAGGCAATTTGCTAAGCATGTTACATGCAGGATCCCATGTAATCTTTGTAACCAACCACCTGAAGAAGTGGGTCCCATTATTATTCCCATGTCACAGATGATGGAACTATTTTTAGTCCCATCTTACAGATGCTAAGACTCAAGATTATTCAGCCACATAGGCTATAAGTTTAGTCAGTGGCTCTCAAACTTCAGAATCTCCTGGAGGGCTTGTGAAAATCACAAGTGGTGGGAACCCACCACCAGAGTTTCTGATTTCAGTAGGTCTGGGATGGGCCTGAGAAATTGCCAGGGCTGCTGTGCTGGGTGCCACCTGTTGAGAACCACTGACTTAAGTCTGAGAACCACTGACTTAAGTCTTCCAGTTTATTACTTCCAGCAATTTGCCATGTATTGTAAGCTCTGAGAAGACAAGTGGAGAGTATGTCCCTTATCCCCTTGCACACATAACACACACACACACACACACACACACACACACACATCCACACATCAAGGGATTTTGTATGTTTGATGTAGCCTTAGAAGGGCTCAGACCCTGGGGCAGGGGACAGAGTGTCACTTGGGTTGTGTCTTCACTGTCAGTCTGCTGAGGCTCAACATGTCCCTGAGCTCTAGATGGAGAAGCAGGGTCCTGAGAAGTCCTAGTGAGATCCTTTAATAGGAGAGAGAAGGGGAAGGTGGGTGATGGGGGTGGCAGCAGCCACAGGGTGACAGGCAAGGGCTGGGAGCTTGGAAAGTCCTCTAGAATGTGCTATTACAGATCCTGGGACTTGTGCTCAGGATGCTTTATTTCTACTGTGCCTGAATTTTCGGGGACTATTGGGTTTTTGTTTCCTCTACTGACACTGTCAACCTCTGCACACAGGAAACAGAGGAAGGGGTTTTCTTCCTTCCACACCTAATCCAGGATGTTAAGAGGGGAGCTGCATCGCTCAGTGGCTGCTCATGATGGTGACCAAGTGAGGGAAATCCAAAGAGAGGTGGACACAGGGCAGGACAGCTGCCAGCAGCATCCAGGCCTGGTTGGTCCAGCTGCCCTTCCCACCCAGAGATCCTTCCAATGTTATTATAACTGCCGCTCATAGCTGCTGATTGCTTACTGTGTGCTAGGGCTTAGACTGAGCACTTTATAGTAGTTGTGGGTTTGGAGCCTATTTTCAATTCCATTTTATGGACAAAGAAAGTAAGTTTGGAGATCCAAACATTTGGAGATCCAAAAATTTGCTCAGGTTCACATCAGGAGCAAGCAACAGAGTAAGACGTAGGGCCCAGGGCTGCCTGAGGTAAAGCCCATGCCCTTAACCCTTTCACAGTGAAGTTCAGTAAAACCTTGGCACTTTCTCTGTCTCAATTAGGGTGGCTCAGATGGTAAAGTGTCTGCCTGCAGTGCGGGAGACCTGGATTTGATCCCTGGGTTGGGAAGATCCCCTGGAGAAGGAAATGGCAACCCACTCCAGTACTCTTGCCTGGAAAATTCCATGGACGGAGGAGCCTGGTAGGCTACAGTCCATGGGGTGGCAGAGTCAGACACTGAGCGACATCACTTTCACTTTCACTCACTGCAGGAGTACCTTACCCAGGGACTTCCCAGGTGGCTCAGTGGTAGAGAATCTGCCTGCAACGCAGGAGACATGGGTTGGATCCCTGGATAGGGAAGATCCCCTGGAGGAGGAAATGGCAACCTACTCCAGTATTCTTGCCTGGGAGGCTACATACAGTCCATTGGGTCACAAAGAGTTGAACACGACTTAGTGACTAAACAACAGCAACTCCTCACCTAGAAGCAGGAACTCTCTGAGTCTCATGGAGCTGACGATGCCCCAGGCTTCAGACCAGGTTCTGCCCGTGAACCTGAGCTGGTCCTCCAACTCCATGGGCCTGAGTGTCTGCCCTTCGTGAGGTGAGGACCCCTCTCCCCTCTTGTGGGGCTGCTGTGTGGACAGCTGATACACTCAGGCTCCTGGGAAGAAAGGTGGTGATGGTGTCCTCTATCCAGAGCTGCGCAGGGGCTGTTTCCGCCCCCCCGCCCCTAGGACTGGCACTCCTGGTGGTTGCATGGCTCCCACACACCTGCCTCCTTCTCTGTGCGGGCAACCGCACCAGGAGAGCTGGAGAAGGGATGAGTGGGGATGAGACTGGGTCAGGGCAGGTTCAGCGATGCTCTGCATCCTGCAGAGGAGTTGCTGTGTGCTGGGGGATTTTCCTGTCTGCTGACTTGATAAATGATCCAGGCTGGGTGTCCAGGCCGAGCCGTGGGTCACGGTGGCCCCCGCTGCCTGCACACCTCCCTATGAAATTGACAACAGAANATTTAATTTTTTTTTTTTTTTTTTTTTTACCTACCAGTCTTATCAGAGGTTTCCCTGTCACTGTGGACTTGACACCTCACTCTCAGAGGGCCTTGGGTCTCCTTTTCTTTCTTCCCACATGTGCCTCCCTTCTCCTTTTTCCTGCATAGCACGAGCTGGAGACATTGTTTCAGGGAAGGACCCCTGCCCTGTGCTGAGACACTTGACTCTCAGTCCAGGTCTGGCCTCCTGTTTCAGGCCGTCTATCCCGACCTGGGGAATCTCAGCGAAAGTCCTTTAAAGGGGTCTTAACTTTCTTTCTTTCTTTTTAAATTTATTTAATTATTTTATTAATTTTTTTTCTTTTTGTGGCTGGCTGGGTCTTCGTTGCTGCACACAGGCTTGCTATAGTTGTAGTGAGCAGGTTTCTCTTCGTGGTGGCTTCTCTTTGAGGAGCACAAACTCTAGGGCACGTCTGGGCTTCAGGAGTCATGGCACACAGCCTTAGTTGCCCTGGGGCATGTGGAATCTTCCTGGACCAGGGATCGAAACCGTGTCCCCTGCATTGGCAGGTGGATTCCCAGCCACTGGACTGCTAGGGAAGTCCTTAACTTTCTTGAAATGGTATTTTGGGTGCTGAAAATAACCACATTCAGGGCAATAGTGGACTTGAAGGATTAAGACCCCCTTGAAAAAGGCTGTTTTTATTATTTTTGGCTAAAAAGAACTGCACTATCTTATCACTGGATTAATAATTACCATAAAAGCTATCATAGGCTGAGTGCTTAGTAGGTGCTAGATGCTGCTGAGTGCTTCTTTCAGCATCAGTTTGTGCACTCCCCTGCTTCTGTGCACAGCATCCCTGCCAACCAGACACTTGGCTCCTGCCTGAGCCTGTCTGGGGCGGCCATGTCTGAGCCTGTCTGGCATGATTGGACTGGTCCCCGGGACTCAGAGAGGATTGAAATCTCTCTGCCTCATGACCTCTGCTCACGGGTCCTATTTCTGCCTTTTGGAGTCATCCAGAAAGGTCACTCTCTCCTCCCAGCAGCCCCCAGCTTCAGCCGAAACATTCCCAGCCCCTTCAAGACTTCCTGGTCCTCTGTAGCTGCTTGGTTCTTTTCATCTTTTAAGCAGCCTGATACCTCTGAGAGTACGGTCAACTTAGTAACTCTTCTCTGCAAGAAGCAGAGTCTGAGACAGAATAGGAATTCCACAGTTCACTCTCAAAAAATATGCTTTTTTTTTGTTTTTTAAATACCCTTCTCATGAACATCTCTCCCAACTCCTTGCAGTTAGGACCTCCGACTAGTCAAAGTCAGCCATCTCTGTAGATTGGCTTCTCACTGCGGGGAGGGCTTCCGAGTTCTGCCCCTGCCGCCACAGCCGCTGGACAGGGCAGCTCCTTGAAGTGGCTCTGTGATTGCAGCCTTCCAGCCTCTCTCAGCAGCTGCCTCCTGTTGGGTCCTCTGGGCTGATTTGCCCAAGGACTGGCTGCCAAGTTAGTCTCCAGGTGTCTGGAACCCCAGCGAAGCAGCCTATACTGGGCAGACTTCCTCGGAGGAGAAGGCTGGATGCGCCAGGTGGCGGCTCTGCACGGGCTGAAGGAGCCCTGAAGCCCGCATCTTTCTTCTGTCCGATTCGCTTCCTGGCTCCTTTGGTGAAGACCTGGCTGTGGCAGAGAGCTGTGTGAGGAAAGGGGAGTTTGGTCTTTCCCCTCTGTGATCTATAGCTTCTCCCCAGGCCTGGAGCAAAGGTCGGGATTGGGATAAAAATGACGAGGAGTAGTCTCTCATGGGGGATGAAAAGAGAGACTAAGCTTCCTGGGAGAGCAATATAACCCAAGGATGATGGCAGTAATCACGGCAAACACTGATGTGCCCAGCACTGTTCGAGGCATTTACACCTGTTCACTCATTTAGTCCTCACAAAAGCCCCACATGGTTTGTGCTATTGTGACCCCATTTTTTAAATTAGAGTATGCTGCTTTACACTGTTGTGTTTGTTTCAGCTGTACAACAAAGTGAACTGGCTATGTGTATACACATATGCCCTTCCTCTTGATCACACCATCATGGTTGTATGGGTCATGAAGATCATGAGCACTGAAGAATTCATGTTCTTGAACTGTGGTACTGGAAAAGACACTTGAGAGTCCCTTGGACTGCAAGGAGATCCAACCAGTCCATCCTAAAGGAGATCAGTCCTGAATGTTCATTGGAAGGACTGATCCTGAAGCTGAAAAATAAATACCCTTCTCATGAACATCTCTCCCAACTCCTTGCAGTTAGGACCTCCGACTAGTCAAAGTCAGCCATCTCTGTAGATTGGCTTCTCACTGCGGGGAGGGCTTCCGAGTTCTGCCCCTGCCGCCACAGCCGCTGGACAGGGCAGCTCCTTGAAGTGGCTCTGTGATTGCAGCCTTCCAGCCTCTCTCAGCAGCTGCCTCCTGTTGGGTCCTCTGGGCTGATTTGCCCAAGGACTGGCTGCCAAGTTAGTCTCCAGGTGTCTGGAACCCCAGCGAAGCAGCCTATACTGGGCAGACTTCCTCGGAGGAGAAGGCTGGATGCGCCAGGTGGCGGCTCTGCACGGGCTGAAGGAGCCCTGAAGCCCGCATCTTTCTTCTGTCCGATTCGCTTCCTGGCTCCTTTGGTGAAGACCTGGCTGTGGCAGAGAGCTGTGTGAGGAAAGGGGAGTTTGGTCTTTCCCCTCTGTGATCTATAGCTTCTCCCCAGGCCTGGAGCAAAGGTCGGGATTGGGATAAAAATGACGAGGAGTAGTCTCTCATGGGGGATGAAAAGAGAGACTAAGCTTCCTGGGAGAGCAATATAACCCAAGGATGATGGCAGTAATCACGGCAAACACTGATGTGCCCAGCACTGTTCGAGGCATTTACACCTGTTCACTCATTTAGTCCTCACAAAAGCCCCACATGGTTTGTGCTATTGTGACCCCATTTTTTAAATTAGAGTATGCTGCTTTACACTGTTGTGTTTGTTTCAGCTGTACAACAAAATGAACTGGCTATGTGTATACACATATGCCCTTCCTCTTGATCACACCATCATGGTTATATGGGTCATGAAGATCATGAGCACTGAAGAATTCATGTTCTTGAACTGTGGTACTGGAAAAGACACTTGAGAGTCCCTTGGACTGCAAGGAGATCCAACCAGTCCATCCTAAAGGAGATCAGTCCTGAATGTTCATTGGAAGGACTGATCCTGAAGCTGAAAAACTCCAATACTTTGGCCCCCTGATGTGAAGAACTGATTCATTGGAAAAGACCCTGATGCTGGGGAAGATTGAAGGCAGGAGGAGAAGGGGGTCACAGAGGATGAGATGGTTGGATGGTATCACTGACTCTATGGACATGAGTTTGAGCATGCTCCAGGAGTTGGACAGGGAGGCCTGGCGTGCTGCAGTCCGTGGGGCTGCAAAGAGTTGGACACGACTGGGCAGCTGAACTGAACTGAACTCCCTCTTGAGCCTCCCCCATCCCACCACTCTAGGTCATCACTGAGCACAAGCTGAGCTCCCTGTGCTATACAGAGCTTCCCACTAGCTAGCTCTTTTGCACATGGTAGTGTATTTTGTATTATGACCCCATTTTATACATGGGAGCCTGAAGTTCAGAGAGCCACTCATCCAAGGTCGCAAGACAGATGCAAGTTTTTCTCTAGACTCGGCACTCCTGACCTACTTGAGAAGCAGAAGAGAGGTGGGGAGCTGAGATTCCAAGCCTGGAATAGAGTCTGGACTCCAGCCCTGAAGAATGCCTACCCTCTATGAACCCCAGTTTCTCCCCTTGTCAAAGGGCAAGAGTCATACCTACCTCAAGGGGCTGTGGTGAGGATTATCAGAGGTGATGGGGTCAAGCATAGACCCCAGTGCTGGGCATGTGGCGAGGTCTCAATAACTTGCTCTTATGAAGGGGAAGATACCTTGATCTTCATTCACAGAGAAAATCTCCTGACTGTGGGGACTGCCAAGAGGCTGTCCATCCAGGACTAAAGCAAAGTCAGGGCAAAGGCAAGGGACCTGGGTCCTCATTTCTTGGCACCACACTTTTTTTTTTGGTTCTCTTGGGTGAACTGCTGGAACAAGGGGGCACTGGCCATGGGGTAGCTGCCATGAAGGTGAATGAGACAAATGAAGTGCTTGAAGAGGAAGGGACCCCTTCCCTTTTCCTCCGGAGCCCCAAATCTGTGACTGATGTGAGAAAGAGGGTGGGAGAAGAAATGAGTTAGCTGGTTGGTCTCAGCTCAAAGGCCTTTAGGAGGAGCTGGATCTTGAGATACGTGAGAGTGTAACCCCACTCCTTCCTCATGGTCCCACAGGAGCCCACCAGCCAGATCACAGGTCCTCCCTGCCCCAGCCCACCCACGGAAGCCCACGGTGGACCAGGACATGGACTATGGTCTGCCACATTTCAGTGTGTTTTGCCATCCTTGAGGCGGTATCTCAAGGTAAACCAGCGCTTATGGGGAAGGTCAGCATTCATAATGCATTCACAATGGTGAATAGAAACCCAGACATCAAAATAGTCTTTTGAATAATTTTGATTTCTTTTATTTTAGAGAAGGGAGTGACTTCTGGTCTGGTTAGGTGGCCCTGTGACTTGTAATGCGGATGGTGAAGAGTTTGTGCTGGCAGTAGAAGGAATAGAAGGATGACCTCTTCATTCTCTGATTGCTTGCTAGCACTTGCCCTTCGTATTCTTTTCTAGCCATACTCTTTTTATAGGAATATTTTAAAGCCATTTGTCCATTTTGAAAAACACAGGATGGTAAAAATGCAATAATGCAGTGCATCATAAAACCCCTTACCTGATGCAGATATGCAGCCATATCTTGCTCATACTGCTGGCAAATTCAGGTGTGAGGGGACCACATGAGTCCCTTGGCATCACGAGAGCCCAGCTCTGCTCTCAGGACACCTGCTCTCCCTGCAGGGCACAGAGCTGTTGATATGTTAACCCAGGGCCATGCTAGTTCTCTGTGTCAAATATTTGTAGAGCTGTTATCTTTCATTCTTTTGAGATAAAAATACATTTAAGTAGAAACTCTAGTATATTCTTCCCATATCTCCTTATTTTGGAGACCTCTAAAAGAAAATACCTTCTGCACCAGCCAACCTAGCATCTGTCCCATTTGCTCTGACTCTCACTCGGAGACTCCATTCTCCTCCGTTTGCGCTCTCCTCTGCTCCCTGCCCCTTGTGTCTGTAAGCATGTGTATGTCTCCATGCGGATGTCCCTTAGAGCCAGGCTCTCGCCTTTGCACTGCAGTAGGGACATAAGCATAGGGAGACCATGCTTCTCTCTCCTGGAAGATGAGGTGCCCCTTCCTTACTGGGACCCCTACAGCAGGAGTGTGTCTAATGGTGGGAGTAATTAGTAGGACAGGTGGCCCTGTAGTGGGTCAGTTGGGGAGCCCTAGATTAGGGTCGGGGAAGAACTAGAATTGCTGATGGATCTCACTGGGTATCCCTCTTCTGGCCAGGCAGAGAGAAGCAGTGCATCCTTTCTTTGTTTATGCTGAACAGTTACCCGTTTCAGTGGTGGCTCAGATGAAAAAGAATCTGCCCACAATGTAGAAGACTTGGGTTCGACCCCTGGGTTGGGAAGATGCCCTGGAGATAGAAATGCCAACCCACTCCAGTCTTCTTGCCTGGAGAATCCTATGGACAGAGGAGCCTGGTGGGCTACAGCCCATGGGTTGCAAGGAGTTGGACCCGACTGAGTGACTTACACTGTCACTGTCCATTTCAGTGTAAGCTCCTGCTCCCCCTTCCTCTTCACCTGCCTCCCCCCACCCCTGCAACCTTCCTTCTCTCACGTCAAGCTTCCTCTTTACTGGCCTTTTCTTCTGAGTCGGCTCAGCCCTGGAAGTCATCACTGAGCGGCCATTTTGTTTCCCAGCCTCCCCTTCTTCAGCCTTCCCCCTCCCCCCATCAAAGGAATGTCCTTCAGTCTCATTGCTTCTGTTGCTTGGCGAGATGCCAAAACAAACAGAACCCCTTTATGTGTCCTTTAGAACCCACAGCAGTCTGGTTCTGCAGGCAGTGGGCCCAAGCCAGAGTTTCAGAGTCCCAGGATGATGTGGCTTTGCTCAAGGAGGTGGCTTGGTCTGGGGTGATGGTACCAGGGATGCCCAAGGCAGGCAGTGAGCAGAGGGGAGGCGAGGTCGTGCTGGCAGTGGGTGGAGGAGGGGGCCTGCTGTGCTTGCAGCCTGTGTGTGGAGAAGCCCCCAGACTCCACGGAGTCAGAGCTCCCTGAGGTGGGCAGGGCAGCTGCAGCTCCATGGACAAGCAGAGCACCAGAAAAACAGAGGCCCAGAAGCATCAAATGAGAGAAAAATGGTTTTCTTGTTTTAAGTAAGCACAAGGGACTCCTGTTGTGGAAGAGAATCTTTGAATTATTGGAAGATGCTTTGGGGATGGAAAACCGGGCTGAGGATGGCCTCTGGGGATTTGGGGGAACTCTTTGAACAGGGATATCTGGAGACCCTTCTCAAAAGCTTAGCAACGGGTTCACAGGATGAGTTAAATCTTTTCATGTTGGACGCCTCAGTTCAGTTCAGCCACTCAGTCATGTCTGACTCTGCGACCCCATGGACTGCAGCACGCCAGGCCTCCCTGTCCATCACCAACTCCCGGAGCCTACCCAAACTCATGTCCATTGAGTCGGTGTTGCCGTCCAACCATCTCATCCTCTGCCATCCTCTTCTCCTCCTGCCTTCAATCTTTCCCAGCATCAGGGTCTTTTCAACATCAGGGTGTTGGAGGCCTCACCCCCATCTGATTGCTGACTCTGTGGCCTGCCCAAGGATGTGGCTACCCTGATGGGGCTGAAAGCACTGGGAGGGACATTCTAGGGTCCATTTATGGTCACACGAGACTGATAATATATCCTCCCAACCCCTATTGGACACTTTCACTGGGTTAGATGCTGAGCTCTGAGCCTTGAACTATACATAAGAAGCATGTCTTCACCTCATTAGGGCTTAGGTAGCTGCCAAATGAATACAGGCATAAACATGATGGCAAGTGCAAAGTTCAAGTGGTAAGTTCTGATATTTGCACACATTGTTTTGGAAACTCAGGGAAGGAGAGAGATTCCTTTGGCTTAGGTTAGGGGGGCTTTGTGATGGTGGTAACCATTTATGCTAACTGCCTCAGTTATTCTCACCACAATCTAGAAGGCAGGACTTACCCTCATCCCCATTTTACAGTTGAGGAAACTGAGGCCTAAAGGGAATAAGTAATCTGTCCAGGGTCAGATTTGTAAGGACAGAGCTAGAGAAGAGAGAAGAAAGGAATCTTAGGCAAAGGGAACAACTTGATGAAGGCGTGAAGGCAGGAAAGCATGGGACATGTATGGGCAGAGAAGAGGAGTTCTATTCAAGTGAAATGGTGAAAGTCAGATGAAGGAGGTATTTGAACACAAAGCTAAGTCTCTCCTTCATTCTGTAGACAATAGGGAGCCACTGAAATTCCCCAAGTAAGAGAATGTCTTGATCGGAGCAGACAAGCAGTCAGGAAAGAAGAGAATCAGATGTGTAGAGAATTAAGAAGTGACTCTTACAGAGCACGTGAGAGGTAATTCACTGTGCCCAGAGGCGTATTACTCTGGACAATGCAGGAGAGAAAATTTCTTTTCATTTTGATAAGAGGTAACTCATTTCACAAGAATGAAGGGAAAGTGGTCCGCATTTCAATTCCTTCCAACTCCATCTACACATTGCACCTATTACCCTGACCCCTAGACTGGTCTCTAGTTATTACTGCTTCATTCTCTTCCTGTCTCCTTACTGGATATTTTGATGCCAGTGCCAGTTGCTTTCTAGATATCTCTCACAACATTTTACTGGAATGAATCTAAACATTTTTTATGCCTTCAGACATTTATTGACTTTGAGGGAGGTGGTTGGTGAGTGCACAGAGCACTAAGCTCGGGTTCTCGGTCCAGGCTATAACTCCTTTTGTGGTTCTAGGACAAATGATTTTTGATATTGAGTTTCTGCATCACTTTGCCAATAAAGGTCCATCTAGTCAAAGCTCTGGTTTTTCTAGTGGTTGTATACAGATATGAGAATTGGACCAAAAAGAAGACTGAGCACTGAAGAATTGATGTTTTCAAATTGTGGTACTGGAGAAGACTCCCGAGAGTCCCTTGGTCTGGAAGGAGATCAAACCAGTCAATCCTAAAGGAAATCAACCCTGAATATTCATTGGAAGGACTGATGCTGAAGCTGAAGCTCCAATACTTTGGTCACCTGATGTGAAGAGCTGACTCATTGGAAAAGACCCTGATGCTGGGAAAGACTGAGGGCAGGAGGAGAAGGGGATGACAGAGGATGAGATGGCTGGATGGCATCACCGACTCGTTGGACATGAGTTTGAGAAAACTCTGGGAGATAGTGAAGGACAGGGAGGCCTGACATGCTACAGTCCATGGGGCTGCAAAGAATTGGACACAACTTAGTAACTGAACAACAACAGCCTGCAAGATGGGGATTATAACACTGGAGCAAGTGAGAAACATGAGATGGTGATAAGAGAAATGAGAGTCCATGTATCAGTGGTCCTCAAAGTGTGGTCCCCAGGCCAGCAGCAGTGTTGCCTGGCAGTTTGTTAGAAATGCACATTACTGAGCCCTGCCCCATCATGGGAAGATACCCAGACCACTGGTGTTCTAGCTCTATGGGTGGTGGAGTGGCTGTCCAGTGGCCCCTTCCCTTACCCGGGCTTGCCGCCTCTTCTGCTCAGGATTGGCTGTCAGGGGTACTCATCCACTCTGCATATTAGAGCAATCACTTGGGAAGCAAGTGATTATTGCTTATTTTAAAAAGCAGCATTTTATTGTTTTATAATTAATTTTGAATAATTATTGCTTTAAAAAAAATACTGCTGTCTATCCCACATCTTTTGGATGAGAGTTTCTGGGGATGGGATTCTGGGTCTTTGCTTTTTACAAAGCTCCCCCAGTAATTCTGATGCACAGGAAGTTGAAATGATTTTCCTCACAGCCTTCTTTTTTTTTTTTTTAAATTTTTTTTTCCTCACAGCCTTCTTATCCAAAATTCCATGGTTTATATGTCACTTTGTATTCCTCATGTTGATTTCATTTTACTCTCAAGAACACTGTGAGGTAGGTAAGAGAGATGTTTTTGTTTAGTCGCTCAGTCATGTCTGACTCTTTGAGACCCCATGGACTGTAGCCCACCAGGCTCCTCTGTCCACAGGATTCTCCAGGCAAGAATACTGGAAAGGGTTGCCATTTCCTCTTCCAGGAGAATTTCCGACCCAGGGATCGAACTCCTGCATTAGTAGGCCGACTTTTTTTTTTTTTTTTTTAAACCACTGAGCCACCTGGAAGCCCCAGGAGAGATGTAGCTTGTTTAAAAACGAGGATGCAAGTGCATAGAGTAGATAAGGGACTTGAGTGGATATAAATAGGTGGGGCTGGAAGGAGGCATGTGTTTACCATTGTTCCCTCCAATTGCTATTAAACAAGGTGACACCAACATTCAGGCAGCAAGTGGCCTCTGGGTAGGGTACCCCACAGTGGAGTTACCATGGACCAGGGTCTGACTCTGCCAGTGTATCCGGAGATGGAGAGATTCTCAGGACTAACTCAATATAATTCTCTGGGGTATTGATATTTAAGGTAAAAATGCCACTTCATTCATTGTCGTGGAGTCTGTTTTAGTTAATGGAAGAAAGGTGCTTGCTCTCCTAGATACCCTTCTTGGCTTCATGGTGGCAGGGTATCTGGAGCTGCTGCTGCTGCTGGTGGTAAGTCGTTTCAGTTGTGTCCGACTCTGTGCGACCCCACAGCCAGCAGTCCACCAGGCTCCCCCGTCCCTGGGGTTCTCCAGGCAAGAATTCTGGAGTGGGTTGCCGTTTCCTTCTCCAGTGCGTGAAAGTGAAAACTGAAAGTGAAGTCGCTCAGTCGTGTCCGACTCTTCGCGACCCCATGGACCGCTGCCTACCAGGCTCCTCCAACCATGGGATTTTCCAGGCAAGAGTACTGGAGTGGGGTGCCACTGCCTTTTCCTGGTATCTGGAGAACCCCTGTGTAACCTGAAGGTTTTCTGGGTGAGTCAGTGAGAGGCTTTCAGCTGCTGTTAACAGAACCCAAAGGATAGTGTGGACGGTAAGTGAATGATCGTCTTCCATAAGACGACTGCGGGTTGGTGCCTCCAGGTGGGATCATTCAGTGGCTCAGCATCCAATGATAAGGTGGGGTGATGGGTCACACCGCCCCCCGCCCCACCCCCAATATTTTCTGTCCTCTGCTCAGCCATGGTGGGTGTATCCGTGATGTCTCCCCTGCCGTTCAGGAGAAACCTGCATCAGTTGATGGCACCAAGGGTGGTGGACAAGTGAGGACGAGGACTGATCCTCTGTGTGGAGTCCCCAGTAGGCTTCCCATTTGGTCTAATGGGCCAGGCTTGAGTCTCATGGCTGTTCCAAAGCTCATCAGTGAAAGGGCGAGGGAGACCCCCATGATTGGCTTAATCCAGTCATAATTACCCACTGGGACTGGGATTCACTGGCTTATTCCAATCTTGATTGGCCCCCTTCTGAGGTGAGGCTGCCGATGGAGGCTGTACTCCTGAATAAAGTTGGGGGGATATACCAGCAAGAATGAATCAGGGGGTTCAGCTGGCTCACTGGAGTAATGTGGAATTGGAACCAGGAGGCTGGTATCATCCGTGCCATGGAGAAGCCTGGTAACCAACTGCTGTCCTTCCTCCCAGTGAATAAGCCCCATACTCATGTCTGATGGCCACCCCGATGCTCTCTCCCTGGTTGGTATGAGATTAAGACTCAGCAGTGCATGCTGTTTTGCTCTGTACTCCAGGCCGACTGCCCTGAGTTGGCTGATATCTTCTTTATTCAGACTACAGCCTTCTAGAGTTACATTCTTGTCTTGAGGAAGAAATAATGTCACCCCAAGTGGACTTCGGCTCCCTGCTCTTTCAGTAGTGATCTGGGGACACTTAGTCCCTGTAAGGTGGCTTCTGCAGATATCTGCTGCTTCCGTGAGGATGTCTTTATCGTTACTAAATTAACTCTCTGAAGGTGACCTTATCTCCTCGTTCCAGGGGCTTCTTTCTGTAGCCTGTCTGTGCGAACTCCATCAGCTACCTCTCAGGGATGTTTGAAGATGCTGTTCGAATCAGCACCGTGGGGCACCTAGGTGGAGGTTGAATCTGGTACTCGGGGAATATGCTGGCAAGTGGCATGGGGTGTTGGTTTGGGCAAATACAAACGTGACCATGATGTGGTCGGGTGTCAATTCAGGTGGGAATACGGGTCGTTGGTCGGTTGCCTCATCGATCTTTACAGGCTGAGCATTTTGCCTCATTGATTTTTCACTGTCGACTGACTCTTGCTCGTTGTTCACTTAGAGATCACTTCATTTCTTTTCAATTCATTTTTCTGTGCCTGTTTGACACTTTACCACACTGTGTTATCCTTCCTGGATGTGGTTGCTGATCACTCCTTTCCTGGGACAATCTCGGTGACCTTTGGAAAGGCCTTTAACCTCTCTGAGCCTCTGTTTTCTCATCTACTCAATGGAGAGGATAATTCCTGCCCA